CTTCTTAAATTTCTTCTTTTTTCTTATCTTCTGCATTCTTCTTCAGTCTCTTAGGAGGAGGAGGAGGAGGAAAAAGGCATCTCAACGTTTGCTGCTCCGCCGGGGGAGCCGCCGCCCTCCTCGCAGAGGCACCGCGCCATGTTGGCCTCGGCCTCTCGGCACACCTCGCGGGCGCAGGGCCGCGCCTTCTGCGCCACCTGGCCGGGGGTCAGCGAGACTCTGCACGCCACGTCGGACGAGGCAGGTACCCAGACATGATCGCGTCGTTGAAAGATCAGGACGGGAGGCTTTTTGCAAATTTCGGACTCGGGGGGCCCTCACCGGGCCTCGGGTGCGTCAAAAAACGGCTCAGGACGAAGAACCGGTCCCAGGGAACGGGTCGGGACTTCCAGGGACCCAGCTCTGAAAAAATCAGGACGTCGCATGTCTAGGGTTAGTAGGTTGGGTGTCCGACCTCCCCACGAAGCGGAGGGAAGAGGGACAGCCGCTCGACTCTTGGAGTAGAGGATGGCGCCTAGAGTAGACTGGGAGCTGTTTTTTTATAAAAGAAGCAAAAAAAGAAAAGAAAAAACTCCATTCAAAGACCGACGGGTGCACGTGTCCACTGCTCCTGGCCAGGCCCATCCTAGGCCCAAGATCGGTGTACCCTGAGATCCTGGCGCCGCAATTGTTAACAACGGGTGCTTTCGCCGTCTCGCGGGCCCCGGGACCCCCACAGGTCGAGCTGACTCGGGAAGTGCAGCAGGAAGATGAGGTCTGGGGCTCTGGTCTTGAATTTTCGCGATGTTGCACATGTGTTCGCAGCGTCGGATGTAAGGGTACACGTCCCCCTGGCCTGGCCAGGAAGGCATGATCACCGATCCCAGGCCCAGGATGAGCCAGGCGAATGGTGGTGGATATGTTTAGACCTCGTCGCCCGACCTGTATCATCTTGCCGCAGAGGTCGCAGACGCACTGCGGCGTGCTTCCGGGCAGCGGCGGATACTCGGCCCGGCTGATGCAGTTGCCTAGGGCATAGTAGCTCAGCCCTTGCAGGAGGGCGACAAACTGGCAACTACCCTGAACCCACTCGCGCCGTGGAAACAAAACACTAAAAGCAAAAAGGCGCGGGGCGTCTGTGTGCCGGTTCCGGGCTCGGGGGCCCCTGGGCTGTCCAAAAACGGCTCGGGGTGAATTCTCAATGTCGTGGGGGAGGGGTCGATAGGGGGCCACATGCGAACCCTACCCCTACCCCTCAGAAATCGTGGGGGGTAGGGGTAGGGTTCGCATGTGGCCCCCTAGTCGAGACCTCCAGGGATCCACGCTGTGAAACAGAGTACAGCGCAGGGGTCTGGGTATACACCTACGCACTCCGGTCCTGGCCAGGCCCAACCTAGGCCCAGGATCGGTGTACACGCCTCCTGGACTGGCCAGGAGAGCGCACACATCAGTCCTGGGCTCTCCTCCTCCTCCTCCTCCTCCTCCTCCTCCTCCTCCTCCTCCTCCTCCTCCTCCTCCTCGGGATCGGGGCTGTCAGGACTGGTGTTGGAATTTGGGTGGCGTCCCCCCACCTTGGCCTGAGAAGGGGCTGGTCAGGGTGGCCAGCTCGTAGAGAATACAGCCTAAGCTCCAGATGTCGGACTCAAAGGCGTATCCCCCGCAGCTCGTGATGACCTCGGGGGACATGTAAAAGGGCGTCCCGACAACGGAGTGTGCCACGTACGTGTTGGAGCTGAACTGCCTTCCAAGGCCCAAGTCTCCCAGCTTCACCACACCCTTGTCGCACACGAATATGTTCGCTGGCTTCAGGTCGCGGTGCATGACCCGGAGGGAATGCATATGCTGCAGCCCGTCACTGACCTGGAAAAGGCACGCCCAGATCTGCAGCTCCGAAAGGCTCCTCCTGTCCTGCTTCAGGTTGCCGAGCAGGTTCGACAAGTCCCCGTGCGCGGCCAGCTCCTGGGGAAACTAATATATATATATATATATATATATATATATACCGATGCCGCAACTCTCCAGACCTCTCCCGGGGTGCGTTCTGACCAGAATTTCGAGGCGAATCCAGCGGTGGAGACGAGAGCCTCCCGGGAGGCCCCAAGAGGCGAGAACGAGGCAAGGGCAGCGGCTTCAGTACTTTTTCCTCCTCCGAGCTCCAGGACGATGACCAGCTCGTTGTTCTCCAAGAAGGAGCTGAGGTACGAGATGATCGTCGGCCGCTGCAGCGACCGCAGCATGCGCACCTCCGCCTCCACCTCGCGGCGGGCCTGCGCGTCCATGTCGCACACCTTGATGCGCTTGAGCGCCACCTCGCGATCGCCCTCGTTCCTTGAGGGGCAGCGTTAGAAGGGGGAATGGCTCAGGGGGGGAACATCAAGCTGGAATCGGCAATACGTCGCCGATGGATCGGCGATACGGTGAGGGCATTGGACAAGGAAACATTACATAAGAAACCCATGGCCTGGAAGCCAGTGGAACTCCAGTCGTGCAGTGGCCACGGATATCACGGCCGCCCTCATCGGATAAGAAACCTTCCAGGATCTGAAGCCTCCTGGGCACACTCCTTAACCAGCGCCCCCACCGGTGGCCCACGACCGCAAAACCGCACAGCCCTGGGCGGGGTGGGCTGTTGGGCTCCTGTCGGCGGTCAATGGGCGATCGGAGGTCGATGCATCCCCCCCTTTGAGTCCCCCCCTAGCGTTGCCCCTGATTCCTCCAGAGGGCCCGGTGCACGTCGGAGAACTTCCCCCTGCCGATCATGCCGACGAGCTCGAAGTCTTGGAACCTCACAGCAGAATAAAGCACCGACACCACTATCCTTGCATCGTCTGGCCATTTTTCGACTTCGGCCTTGCCGAAAGGTCTACAGCATTCCTACTTGAGCGACGAAAAGACACGAGCCTTAAGCAAGATGCCATGCCATAGCGACATCACGCGGTGGCTGACGCGGGCAGCCCGCGCGGCGCGCAGCATTGCAAGCGAGGGAGCTTACGCGCGAATGTAGGCGCAGATAGCCCAGTTTTTGTCTATGGATGCCATGACAATGGACACCCTAACAATCCTATCATTGAGTAACAAATGTGCTCAAAAATGTTCGAAACCTAAGCATGTTTAAAAATATGTTTCTGACATGTTTAAGACATGCTTAAATCATGTTTTAGACTGGAAATTATTTGACAACATGCTTCCTCTCAATTGATCGTCGTCCACAAACTTCTGTGTTGCGTCGTCCATTTTGAAGAAAACCGTGATTTCCCGGCCTGGCCAGCCTGCCTCGGGGCTGCCCAGTGTGACCCGGCCTTCCTCAGGATGGCTGGCTGCCCAGCCTTCCTCGGCCCTCCTCGGGCTTCCCTTACGATGTCCTAACCTACTTTAGCCTTGACCACCAGAAAGAATTTCGATCAGCAAGAGGATGCCCGGTGGCCCGGTTACCCGATTGCCCAGGTTGCCACGTGGTCGCCTGCCAAGCACAGCAAAGCACTGCCAAGCAACGCGAAGACATGCCAGGCAAACGCAAAGCAATGCCAAGCCATGCCAAGCAATGCAAAGCAATGCAATGCAATGCCAAGCCATACGATGCAATGCCAAGCAGCAGTGCCAAGCAATGCCAAGCAATGCCAATCAATGTCAAATGCCAAGCAACGCCGCGCAAGGCAAAACAATGCCAGGCCAATGCCAAGCAAGGTCAAACAACGCAAAGCAATGTCAACCAGCGTCCAGGAATGCCAAGCAAAAAACCAAGCAATACCAAGCAATGTCCTTCCCTGCCAAGCGATGTAAAGCAATTCCAGGCAGTGCAATGCAAAGCAAAGCAAAGCCAAACAATATTATAAAAAGCAATGGCAAGAAACGCAAAGCAATACAATACAATGCAAAGTCATGCAAAGCCATGTAACGCAACACGAAACAATTGCAAGTCATGCAAAGCAGTACAAAACAATGCCAGGCAATGCCATGCAATGCCAAGCAATGCAAAGCAACGCAATGCGATGCAACGCGAAGCAATGCAAAGCAAAGCCTAGCAATGCCGACCAATGCCCGGCAATGTCAGGCAATGCCACGCAATGCCAAGAAATGCAATGCATTGCAGAACATAGCAAAGCACAATGCAAAGCAATGCTAAGCAAAGCAAGTGAATGCCAAGTGATGCTTTCCTTGATGAATTACGCACTTGCTCAGGAGGCTTTACCATCGCGCCGGTTTTGTTTTTGTTCCTCGTGGATTCGCTTTGAAATTCTAGTCAGAACGCACCCCTGGTGAGGTATGAAGGGTAGCGGCACCGGTATCCCAGACCCCCGCATCACTGTTTTTCGTAACGTGGACCCCCAGTGACCTGGACCCGGTCCCCGCGAGTCCTTTCGTTGGCGGTCCAGGGGCCCGGCGAGGGCCCCAGAAGACCGAAAACGGAGAAAAGCCTGGCGTCGTGATTTGTTCATGACTCGCGGGGGTCTGGGGCCTGTCTCGGCGGCGAGCCCGGGGGGGAAGTAAGCAGGGGCGGGCCTGCTCACAGGGCTCGGAAGCCCCCCCGGCCTCCCGAGGAGTGTCCTGGAAGCCCTCCCCGAGGACGCAAAGAACCTCCCAGCAGGCCGGAGGCCTGCTGAGAAGCCTCGCCGCCTTCTGAGCAGGCCTTCTCCCTCTCGCTTCCGCCCCTCGCTCGCCGCCGATCTCCCCGTTGCCCCGGGGGCCGTGGGCAGACGAGCTGGCGCGCGGCCACGTCGAGCAGGCGCTGGGCGTTGGCCCTGCGGCCGGGGAGCACCTCGAGGGTCTCGCCCACGACGGTGCTGAGCTCCTGGGAGAAGGTCGCTGGGTCCCGGCTTAGACGTCGGAGCAGGGGGGCGACGATCGATTTCCAAAAAGCACCTGCGCGACGATCAGCAACGGACCTTACGCGAGATGGCATAGCGACCCGACGCCGCGGCTTGCGCGGGCCGCCAGCGCGACGCGCTACTTTGGAGACGAGGGCGCTTGCGCGTCACCTTCCGCGGGCAGCTTACGCGCGAATGTCGGTACCGACGACCCCGTTTTGCTGCGTCGCCCACCTGAGTTCGTTGTGTCCTCGGCCTCACATCCACAGGAGCGAGTGCAGCCTGCCAGCTGACGACTCATGCCTGCAGTTCTGTGAGTCGGGCATGGGCTTTCGCATCTTAGGTTAGTGAGGGGCACCCCGACACTCTGCACGCCACCGTGCCTTGTCCATCCGTCTCTCTGCCCATCTGCTGGCTCAAGAGGCATGGCGGAAGGAAATTCGGTTGTACGGGAGCGCCAATTTTGGCCGTGGCCTCCTCCTCCCCCTCCTCCCCCCCCTCCCCCTCCCCCCCTCCCCCCCCCTCCCCCCCCTCCCCCTCCCCTCCTCCCCTCCCCTCCTCCCCCCTCCCCCTCCCCCTCCTCCCCTCTCCCCCTCCCCCCTCTCCCCCTCATCCCCTCTCCCCTCCTCCCCTCCTCCCCCTCCTCTCCGTAGCCATTTTGGCTCAAGCTTTCTGCACTTGGGGGCTCCGCGCCTCCGTGCCAAACCGGGATAGCTCTGTTCCCGAGCCAGCTTTCATCGATTCGCCTGGTCCGCCCCAGGCAGAGTGTCGTGCGGTCAGCCCCGTGCGGCGCAGCGTTTCGTGAGCTCCTGCAGGAGCAACGGCGATCACGAGGCTGCTCTTGGTGGCCCTCCTGTGCGCGAGCAGCCTCGCCGCCTCAGCAGGATGGCGCCGCCCAAGCTGCAGTCCGGGCACACCAAGCAGCGGGTGGCGTGGTCCCAGCAATGGCACTGCCGTTTCTGCTGGGCCCCGTCCGGTGCGCGCTGGTGGAACCATGCCGAGCTGGTGTCGTGCAAGCAGTGCCAGCGGTCCAAGGGGCAGTGCTTCCACTCCAACCGGGTGCCCAATGTGCCGTCTGTGTCCTCCAAGGAAAAGACGGCAGCGGCCGAGCTGCGCAAGCTCCAGTCCGAGCTCAAGCAGGCGCAGTCGGAGGTCGTCAAACTCAAGGCCGCTGGTAGGGTCGCTGCGCCCGCGCCAGACCCGTTCGGCATGGCAGTCGACAGCGGGGCGGCCTTGGTGCAGCTCGAGGCCGAGGTCGAGTCGGATCGGGCCAAGGAGCTGCGAGATCTTCTCGACCAGACCGTGGGCGTCAGCGACTCCTCGGGCGGCCTGCAGGAAATGCGCAGGAAGTACGCGGAGGAGCTCGAGCAGCTGCGCGTCAAGCGGATGGACTCGCGCCCGCTTCCTGTCCAGATGCAGCAGCTGTCGCAGCAGATCAAAGGATTGGAGCGCAAGGCAGAGGCCAAGCGCGCGGGCGTCGCCAAACTCCTCGGCCAGGTGCGAGAGCTCCAGTCGCAGCATGACGAGGCGGCGACGGAGCTTGGCACCATCCAGAGCGAGATTGCTGTGCTGGAGGCGCAGCGGGCCGAGGTGGCGTTGCAGTTCCCGCAGCCGGCGACCGTCATCGAGGGCGTCAAGGCCTCGCTCGACTCCGTGCTGCCCAGCGTCCAGATGTCCGCCGAGCAGATGGTCCAGGTGCTGGGTACCTTCGGCGCGGATGAGGAGGCGGCCAAGGACCTCCACCGCGCGGTGGGCCGCGTCCGTGCTGCGGCCGTCAAGGCGAATGCCGAGCGGCAGGCGGAGCTCGAGCGCCGGCAGGCGGAGGCCGCCAGAGGCTCGGCCCCCCCGACGGGCGGCGCGGCTCCAGGCACGCCCATCCCCGAGCCAGGCGGAGTGCAGCGGCCTGCTGGGTCTCGGGCTTTCCGCCTCCCTACTGCTGCTGGGGTGGGCGCTGACACGCCAGAGGTGCTCCAGGCCTTCCTGCAGGCCATGGGACAAGCCGTGCCTGCGGAGGAGGCCGATCTCCGCGAGGCGGCCAAGCGGTTCGCCGATGGGCTCGAGAGCTTCGCCAAGCGCCAGCGGTTGGAGGCGCCTGAGGCCGCTGCAGTGGCGTAGATCTGTCCTGCACTATGTCATGATGATGTCTGTGCTGGAAGTGGTCTCGGCCGTCGACCCCGCGGGCGGCCAGCGTGTGCCGGTGTCGACCGACCTCGATGGGGCGCCGGATGTGATTCCAGAACCCCCCCGACACCGGCAGGGAAGTCCAGGAATTTTCCGGAAAATCCTGGACTTGCCGGGGGGTGTCTCGACCCAGGCCCTCCAGACCGAGTTTTCGGCGGCGGTCTCGGCGGCCCCCGGCTCCTGTGCTTCGTCGTCGGCGGCTGGTGCAGGCGTGGGCGCTGTGGAGCGGGGTGTTCTGGCGGCCTCGGTGTCTGCGACATTCCCCTGCCCCCCGTCGGGGGCCAGCGTTGCGGCCGCCGACGGCGAAGCTGCTGGGCGCGCTGCTGGGCGCGCTGCTGGGCGCTATCTGGAGGCCGACGGTCCTGAGTCGAGGCCGCCTGCTGACGACTGTCGGGCAGCGGTCAAAGGGTTCGTGGCCACCACCAACGTGTCGTCGTACGGAGCCCTGGAGCGGCTGCTGGCTAGCTCGTTCGATGCCCAGGTCGTCCTCGTCCAGGAGCACCACGCGGGCGACGACAAGGTCGCCAGTCTGCAGCAACGGGTGCGCAGCCTGGGCTTCCACGGCGTCTGGGACACGGCGATCCCCTCCCCCGAAGGAGGCACGCGTGGAGGCTGCGCGGTCCTCGCCTCCGCGGCCATCCAGGTGAGCGCGCCGCCCCTGCATCCCACGGGGTGCCTGGTGCCAGGCAGGGCCACTGCGGGCCTAGTGCATTGGGGCGTGTCTGGCGGCATCGTCTTCGTGTCCGTGTACCTCCACGACTCGGTCGGGCTCGACGTCTCCAACCTGGAGATCCTGAGGGTTGTGGGCCACTACGTGCTGGACGTCGCCAGCCGTGGCTACTGCTGGGTTGTGGGCGGGGACTTCAACATGTCCCCCGAGCTGCTGGCCCCGTGGTTCAACTCGGTGGGCGCTGTGCTGCTCAGCTCGGCGGCATCGACGTGCAGGCAGAAGATGCCAGGCACGAAGCTCGACTACTTCGGGGTGGACCATCGCCTCCTGAGCCGCGTCCGGCTGCCCGAGGTGGTGGAGGCGGCCGATACGTACCCTCACAAGCCTGTGCTGCTGCCGCTCCTGGCCCATGATAGGCCGCTGTGGTGCAGGGTGCCGTGGGAGCCCAAGGCCTTCGCGGCGGTGGCGCCGCCCGGCTGCAGTCGACCTCCGGTGGGGATCTGGGCTGCGGTCCAGGAGGCGACCGAGCGCGCCTCCTGCGAGGGTGCGGTGGCTCAGTGCTGGGACGACGTGCTGCAAGGCATCGAGCAGGAGCTGTGCGGCCGCTTCGACCTGGTGGGCGAGGCCTGTGCTGGCCAAGTTGGGCGAGCGGGGCCGCTGCGAACGCGTTGGCAGAAGTTCGCCTGGCAGCCGCCGCGACGCCGACCTCCTGAGAGGGGCACGGCCACCGATGCGTGGGCTGTGGCGGCGGGCTGGGCCAGGCACCTGCGACGGGTCAGTGAGAGCCTCAGCTCCAGGATCCCTCAGCTGATGGAGGCGCGGGCTGCTGGGGGCGCCACGGCGGCGGAGACCTCCAAGATCGGGATCCTGCTCTACGATACGGAGGCCTTCGTCAAGCGGGTGCTCAAGCAGAAGTGGGTCTTCGCGGAGGTCGATGCCTGTGTCCTGCCATTCTTCCAGCAGGGGCTGCTGGTTTTTGCGGACGCCTACTTCCACGACATGGTGGACTGGCTCGTCCATCAGGGCGAGAGCAAGTTGGCCGACTTTGCGGCGGTGCGTGCCAAGTCGTGGAATGCTTGGGTCGAGGCGAGCTTTGTGCAGGGCGCGTCCAAGGCCCATCGCTTCTCCAAGGTGCAGGCGCTGCAGCCTGCGGAGGCTGAGGCCGCCGGTGTTCAGCCTCATGAGCGGGCCGATAGCTGCCTCGACTTCTGGTCCGGCATCTGGGCCACCCATGGCTGCTCGCGCTTGGAGCTGCCGCCTGAGGCTGCTAGCTGGCCGCTGCTGCCGTGCATCTCTCACGTCGAAGTCCGAGCTGCCGTGCGGAAGTTTTCCTCCCGGACTGCTGTTGGTCCAGGCAGCCTCGCGCCTTGCAGCCTCTGGCACCTCAGCGATGAGGCTCTGCAGGCCGTCGCCGTTCTGTTTATGCAGTGCGAAAAACTTGGGATGTGGCCGAGCGATCGCTTGGCCACCGAGTTAGTGCGCCTCGCCAAGCCTGATAAACCAGGCGAGCACAGGCTGATAGCCCTCATTCACTCTCTGATTCGGGTGAGGGGGAGGGTTCGGAGGCCTCTTTCGGTGGAGTGGGAGGGGAACCATCGTAGCGAGCTCTTGTGGGGCTCGGGCCCTGGGCGCTCTAGTCTCGATTGTGCCTTCAGTCACAATTTGGAGGCCGAAGTGGCTCGCAGCATAGGTGAACACTGTGTGACGGTGCTAATCGACATGATTAAATGTTATGAATTAGTCCTGCTGTCGGCTGTGATGGCCGAGGCTGCTGCCGTGGGATACCCCCTTCGGCTTGCTTGGATGTTGGTGTGCAACTACCAGCAGCCTCGGCGCATCCGCGGGTTTGGGTCGCTCAGCCGCTCCTACAGGTCCTACCAGGGGATTCTCGCGGGGTGCAGCCATGCCACCACTCTAATGCAGGTCCTGTTGCTTAGGCCCCTCCAGAGACTCAAGAGGGAATTCGATTTTGTGGTGCCCCGAGGCCTCATGGACGACGTTTCGTTCCAGTGGATAGGGGCAGTGGCCAAGTATGCAGGTGTAGTGTTTAATGCTGTGGTGGCCTTCGCCAGGTATACCCGCCCGCTCGGCTTCTTGCTCCAGGCTTCGAAGTCGGGGTACCTGGCGTCGTCGACGGAGGCGGCCAAGGCCGTCAAGGCCCGAGCGTACAGGCTCAGGCTGCAGCAGTTTCAGACGGCCAGGAACCTAGGTCACGACACGTTTGCTGGCGGCATCCCCCGCAGAGCCCTCGAAAGAAAAAGGTTGGGTACTGTGTTGGGGCGCCGGGGGCGGCTTCGGGCCCTCAGGAAGGCCGGGGGTCTCAAGGTGAGGACTCTGTGGCGCACCGGTGTTATGCCGTCAGGTAGTCATGGAGCGGGGGTGGTAGGCCTCACGGACTCCACCCTCATGAAGTTGAGGTCGTTTGCAGGCGAGTTGGTAGGAGCTAGGCGAGGCCTCGCGTCGCTCACTGCGTATACTTGCACGCAGAGAGACAGGTTTTATGATCCCACCTTCGACGCCACCTGCCCTCTGGTTGTCAGATATGCGTGCTGGCTGTGGGATGGTCGGACCTCCCTCTCTCGCCTCCGGACTGCGGTCGTGGCCATCCGTGATCGGTTGGGTCAGCAGGGGTCTTGGAGGCAGTGTTTCGGTCCCATCTCTGCTGTGCTTCTCACGCTTCGTCGCATCGGCTGGGAGTTAGAGGCCCCTCACCTCCTCCTCTCGGACCGTGGCGAGCACATCTCTCTGTATGACTGCGCTCCCAGCGAAGTTCGGAGCCTCGTTCGAGACGGGGTTGAGCGTTGGCTTTGGCGTAGGGTCCCCTTCCACTGGCCAGAGGCGACGGGATCCGAGTTTTGTTGGGCTCGAGCGATGCGCCTGTCCCTCCTGGCTCTCCCAGCGGGTGCCCGTCAAGGTTCGATGCGCGCCCTGTGGTCTGGAGGGTTGTGGCCGCCTGCTCGCAAATTCGACGCGGGCCTGGCTCCGTCAGCTCAGTGCACCTTCTGTGGAGCGGAGCGAGGGTCGATGGGCCACCAGTTTTTCGATTGTTCCAGTGCCTTCGCCTCGGGCGAGGATTCGGGGGATGGCATGGGCTTCCCTGAGGACGTTTGGCAGCACAGGCAGGCCTTGCGGGAGAAAGGGAGGAGTCTGGGGTCGGCCGATTGGGATGTCGTGTCGTCGCTCTACGGGGGTCCCTCCCTCCCTATCCAGTTGCCTCCTCCCCCAGCTCGGCCGCCTGTGCTCACCTGGGGACTCGCGGAAGGTCCTTGGGGCAGGTTTCGGTTCACGGACGGGTCTGGGCTCCATAGCTCGGTGCCCGAGGCCACTAGATGCGGCTGGAGCGTGGTTGAGATTTCTGACGATGGATGGCCATTGAGGGCCAGATTTGGCGGTCTCCCAGGGCGTTCTCAAACGGTCCCCAGGAGCGAGAGGTGGGCGGGGCTAGATGCCATCGCCCTCGGCCCCTCGGGAGGCCTGCCACCTGTCATAATTAGCGACCACCTTTCGTTTGTCAATGAAGGGCGAGGCTGGGACCCCAACCTTGAGTGCGGTACCTCAGCCCACGCGTCGATTTGGCGCAAAATCTTCCTTGTCTGCTCCCAGCACGCTCTGCGTCCTGAGTTCCACTGGACTCCTGCACACTTGTCGCTCCAGGGGTTAATCGATCAGGATGCGGGCGCTGGTGATATATGGCGTTTCATGGGTAATGCTTGGGCCGATTTCTTTGCCAAGCTCGGAGCCCAGGACATCGCTGTTGCTGATGTGGCGGTTGCGTCGCTCCAGGCCGCCATAAGCGATTGCAAATTGTCGTGCCAGTTTCTCTCACGAGCCGTCCAGATAATCTGTGCTCGTCCCGAGGTCTGCTCGTCCCGAGGTCTCCCAGGCGCCTGCTGCTCCAGTGCCGGCTCGGGCCCCAGGGCCCCGTGCGCCCCAGCTGGTGTTAGTGGCTCATGACACCGTGCCCCTGGCTCCTGGGTCCTCGGCGGTTCAGTGCAGGCTCTGTCTGGCCGTTGCTCGGACCCCAGCCAGTTGCAAATCGCTGCTGAAACCAGGGGCGCGGTGCGAGCCTGGCCCAATGCTGCGCCAGCTAGCGGCTGCTACCGAGCGGCTGGGCTGGCGGCAGCACGTCTCCGGGGAGGGGGAGGCTGCCCTTGCCGCTGCTGCTGCCGCTATGGAGGCGGAGGCGGGGGGATACTTGTTCGAGTGCGACGGGCACAGGATCCACCGTGCAGGGCCTTTCCTGTACTGTGGCCGCTGTGGGGCCCGAGTGGCTTTGGGGTCTCCCAAGTTGGATGCCCTTGGAGCCCCGTGCCCGCCGGCACCCCCGAACCCAGCCCGTCGGCGAGCCAGGGATTGGCTTGCCGAGGGCAAACATCCAGCGTCAGGCGTTCCTTTCTGACTTGTGATGCGGGGGGGAGGCCTGTCGGGTGCCGCCCAGTTCGCCTGAGCTGGGTTGGTGCCGTCAAAACATCGATGGCCTCCCTCCGCACCGTGTAAGTGTGCAATTATCGGTCGAATGCTTCCGGCCTGGAGTGCTGGTGATTTATCACGCTCCCCCGTTTCATTTTATATAGTCGCCGTCGCGTTCCCGGATGCTTCGACGTTCTATGCTGCGTCCTGCGTCGTGCCCTCCTCCCCCTCCTCCCCCTCCTCCCCCTCCTCCCCCTCCTCCCCCTCCTCCCCCTCCTCCCCCTCCTCCCCTCCTCCCCCTCCTCCCCCTCCTCCTCCTCCTGGCCGGCCCGGGGTCGGCCCGGCCAGGGTCGGCACGGTGGAGCGGGCGACCTCCGGTCCTGGGTCCACTGGTCTGGCGGCAGCGGCCGGTAGCTCGCGGAGCAGATGGCGGAGCCGAGCGCCATGAAGTCCATGTCGCTGCGGTAGAAGGGCGAGAAGAACATGGCGCACTCGTACAGCGTGCAGCCGAGGCTCCAGACGTCGGAGGCGAAGGCGTAGCCCTGGAGCCGTGAGGCTCTGAGAGGTGAGCTCGCACGAGCGCGGCAGCACAGGAAAGCGAATTGGCCCGGTGGTATCGCCCCAGTAAGGCGGAGTCGCCCGTATGCCCTCCCAAGCCCAACCCATGCATGAAACACATGGAACCCCCATCCTCCTCCATCTCCTCCATCCTCCATCGTCCCCCTCCTGAAACCTCACCCTCCACCTACACATCCTCATCCTTCTCCGTCGTGCCTCCTCCATCCCTCCCTCCCTCCATCAATCCATCCATCCATTCCCAAAACCTCCCGCAGCCTTCCTCGCTCCTCCTCCTCCTCCTCCTCCCCCCCTCCTCCTCCTCCTCCTCCTCCTCCTCCTCCTCCTCCTCCTCCTCCTCCTCCTCCTCCTCCTCCTCCTCCTCCTCCTCCTCCTCCTCCTCCTCCTCCCAGCCCCACCTGCTGCGTCATCGTCGTCGTCGTCGTCCGTCGTGCGCCGTCGCCGCCGCCGCCGCCGCCGCCGTCGCCGTCCTCGCCCTTAACGATCTCGGGGCTCATGTAGAACGGGGTCCCGACGCACGAGAGGGCACACTGCGTCGCCGTCTGCAGCTCCCTCGAGAGCCCGAAGTCACCCAACTTCGCGGCGCCGTCCTGACAGGACCAGCCGGCACGCAGAAAACGGCACCGACTCGGACCGATCACGGGACCGGACTGCATCGACTCGACGTCTAAAAGGAGAAAAAGCAGCATGAGCAATAACTGTTGGAGGTCCACGGTGGTTTCATGGATCGGCGCTGGACCTCCAGAGAAGGTGTTCCCCCACACTCTAAGATTGGGTTTACGTCATTACTCAGACCGCGCCGACTCCCACACCCTCCTCACCTTACCTTCGCCTGCTCCTCCTCCATTTCCACAGGCAGCCTCACTCATCATACTCAAACTCATTCATACTCAGGCTCACTCACACTCAGACTCACTCACACCCAGGCTCACTCACACTCAGCATCACTCATACCCAGGCCCACTCACACTCAGACGCGCTCCGATTCAGACTCACTCATACTCAGACTCATTCACACTCAAATTCACTCACACTGATTCTCTCACCCAGACTCAATGTCACGCAAATTTCACTCACACTCAGACACACACAGATTGTCAGGATGTCTCAAGCGAGACGCTGGTCTCAGCACTCCCAAGGGAGAGCCGCCAGGGTAAGGACACTCAAGGATTCGCGCCGGGATGTATCAAGTGGTTTGCCTGTTTGCATGCTCAGCGTCCTCTGCTTTCGGAGCAAGTTGAAAGGATTTCGCAGGCGAGGCGCTGCTCTCAGCACTCCCACCGGGGTCCGCCAGGGTAAGGACACTCAAGGATTCGCGCCCAGATTGTGGGGATGTCTCAAGCGGTTTGCCTGTTTAGATGCTCAGCACCCTCAGCTTTCGGAACTATTTGTAAGGATGTCGCAGGCGAGGCGCTGGTCTCAGCATGTCCAGGGGGGGCCGTCCACCAGGGTAGGGTCACTCCGGGACTCCCGCCCAGCTTGCGGGGATGTCTCACGCGGTTTGCCTGCTTGCATGCTCAGCGTCCTCTGCTTTCGGAGCAATGTGTGAGGATGTCGCAAGCGAGGCGCTGGTCTCAGTACCCCCACAGGGTAGTCACCAGGGGTCCTCGGGCTCGGATCCTGTGTGATTTGCGTATGTCTCTATAGACTGCCCCGATCCTGTGGCTCGAATCCTAGGCGTTGCACGTGTGTTACTCAAGGTTGCCCCTCTCCCTGGGGCTCGGATCCTCTGTGCTTACGTCTGTTCGTTTCGATTGCCTCTCTCCTGTGGCTCGAATTATATAGAAAGTGTGCATGTTCTTATATAGATATACACAACTTTTGAATGCATACACACATACAGATAACTATATTGATACACACATATGTGCATACATTGCCCATCTCCTATCGCTCGAATCTTTCGGTTTGCAAATGTTCATGTAGATTATCGCTCTCCTGGGACTCGTATCCTTCGCGTTTATGCGTATTCCTACATATGTCCCTCAGATGCGGCCCGAATCCTGCGTGCTTTGCGTCTCTCCTGGAGCTCGAACCCTGCTTGCGCATCTGGCCCCTCCCCGCGCCCAGGAGGCTTCAGGAGGCCCCAGGAGGCAGCAGCTTTCTGTATTAAAGAATATGTTCACGGAACGCTTTTCGCCCCCCAACACCCCCGGAAGGCACCAGGAGCTTGCATTGGGGTAACGAAGGAGGTGGTACGGTACAAATGCTCATAGTGTGTTCCCGGGGCCCCAACGCACAAGTTTTTCGAGCTGCGTCCAGCCGTGGTGACGAGGATAACCCTCGAAGGCCAGAAGGCCTCGATCCTCGATGCTCGAGGCTCGAACCTCGACGCGAATCTGCCGTCGAACGCCAGAAATCCTCGATCCTCAATCCGCGAGGGGCCGTGGTGACGAGGACAGCCCTCGAAGGCTGCAAAAGCCTCGGTCCTCCAGGCTCGAGGCTCGAACCTCGAGGTGAATCTGCCCCCGAAGGCCAGAAGGCCTCGATTTGAAAGATTGGTCTTCGGCGCGCCTTGAACCTCCTCCTTTCCTTCCTTGCTTTTAGGTCCGAGGCTTTCGCCATTCTCGCAACCCCCAACAAACGTGGCTGCGCATGGCTGGAGGGATAACCCGAGAAAGGTTCTTGCTCTAGCCGCGGGGGGGGGAAATCTGAGCAAGCTTGTTTATTCCGCATGCGTTCTGCTGGAGAGGTAACCTGAGAAAGGTTATGACTCCAGCCGCGGGAGAGGTAACCTGAACAAGTTTATCGCTTCCGCGGGCGTTAGGCTGGAGAGGTAACCTGAGGAAGGTTATCGCTCCAGCCGCGGGAGAGGCAACCTGAACAAGGCGATCGCTCCCGTCTGGTTTAAGAACAAGGGGGAGGGGTAAATTCCACGCTTCACTTGAATAGTGATTGAGCGGGAAAAGTAACCTGAACGAGGTCATCGTTTCCGCGAGCGTTAGGCTGGAGAGGTAACCTGAAGGAGGAGGCACATGCGTTAGACGTTAGGCGTTAGGGGAGGAGGCCGGTAACGTCACCTTTCGCGCTGACGCCGTCTGGGAGAACCTCTAGGAATCACCAAAGACAACTCGGAGGTCAGCACGAACCGTGAAGTGACCTGAGGGGGGGTGGCGGCTGGGGCGGGTAACGGCCGCTGTCGCGAAACAGAGAAGAAGAATAATTAATAAAAAAAGAAAAACACAAAACACAAAAACAAAAAAAAAAAAAAAAAAAAAAAAAAAAAAAAAAAAAAAAAAAAAAAAAAAAAAAAAAAAAAAAAAAAAAAAAAAAAACGCCCTCACGGCGCCTGTGGCGCCGCCCCTGGCGCGCTCCGCGAGTCCAGCGCCGATCCAAGAAATCCGCGCGGAGCTCCGAACAGAAATGCCCATTGATGGGCCTGCTTTCCACCACCACCACCACCACCACCATCACCATACGGAGGAGGAGGAGGAGGAGGAGGAGGAGGAGGAGGAGGAGGAGAAGGAGGAGGAGAAGGGGAGGAGGAGGAGGAGGAGGTGGAGGAGGAGGAGGAGAAGGTGGAGGAGGTGGAGGAGGAGGAGGAGGAGGAGGAAGTGGAGGAGGTGGAGGAGGAGCAGGAGGAGGAGGAGGTCCCCCTCCCCTTCCAACTTCTGGTGGTGGTGGTGGAAAACAAGCCCATCACCCATGCCGCCCTTACGCACAGCTGTGCATGGTCTGAGCACGGCCTCCTCGCCTCCCGGGCCCTCCTCTGGCCCTCCTCCGGCCCTCCTCCCCGCGCTCCGCTCGCGCCTGCCCCGCCCTCCGTGCCACAAGCTTCGCCACGGCTGCGCCCCGCCGTCGCCCGAACGCTGCTTGCTTTAGGTCGGGCATGTCCCCCCAGACTATTGTTTTACTAGTTTGGGATATTCCTCCCGTAGGGGGGCGCGCCCGCCTTAATGCTTGCTCCCTGGCGCCCTCCGACCAGAAACATGAGTGCCAGTTGTTCCGGACTGCACGCCTGCGCACGGATACGTGCAACCAGCGAGGCTAGGGGACCACATGCGAACCCTACCCCTGCCCCCCACGATTTCTCCCGGTTCACTTCGTTCGGGAGCTCCCGAGCGAAGCGAACCCCACCCTGCCCCTCAGAAATCGTGGGCGGTAGGGGTAGGGTTCGCATGTGGTCCCCTAGAGGCTGTGCCAGCACCGGGCACCCACCGGACATCGCCGGGAGTCCGAGGCCGAGCAGGGGCGCTCAGTCGGCCGAGACCTCGGCACCGAGGCGTGCCTTCGAGCGAGCCGAAGAGCGGGCGCCGCGTCCTGGCCGAGGAAGACGTGCGAGGGCTTGATGTCGCGGTGGAGGACGCGCCGCCTGGCGGCCGCGCAGGGAGGGGCCAGGAGGCAGCGGCGGCGGCGGCAGCGGCGTTGGCGGCGCGCGGGAGGATCGAGGAGAGGGCCTCGTGGAAGGGCGAGGCCAGGACTGGGAGGCCATCGGCGGCGGAGGGGTCCCTGGCAAGAGTGGCCCGTGGTGCGCCCGTGGTGCGCGGCTCGTGGCGGGCGTGGGGGGGGGGGGGGGGCGCGCCCGAGCGCGCGAGCTGCTGCTGTCGCATCGCGTTCCGAGACCGGGGGAGCCCAGTGGGCCCGCACCAGAGGTCACTCCAGCGAGGGGTCACTCTCACGTGTACCCCAGATTCCGTAATAAAGGGAGGGGGGTCTCATTTCGGGGGGCGTCTCTTCCAGGCTATCTTGGAGGGCCGGGGGGGTCCGGGGACGATGTTTTGGAGGGTTCTCCCACGGGGGAGGTCTGAGATGGCTTGTCTTGGAGGGTCCAGACCCCCTCCCTTTTATCACGAAACCTGGAGTAGCCGAGGCCATCAGACGAGGACAAGAGTCGGGGATCACGGTGAGCCGGCGGTCCCGCGCAGAAGGGCCCAGCGCCGATCCGAGAGCTCCGCGCGGAGCTCCGCAAGGTCAGCCTCACGCAGTGTGCTTTTGTTTCGACGTGGGGCCCCGCCCCGCGGGGGTGGGCAGCACCCCCTCTGGCAAAGCGGCCGTCAGTGGAAGCTGCCAGGAGCACTCCACGTGCGCACAGCACCGCACTCCGAGTGGACCCCAGCGGGGTGGCTCATCGACGTCCACAGACGACCAAGTCGCTCATCATCGACGGGTCGCTCGTCGACGTCGACTCGCGAAACCAACTGCGCTCTGCACCGGCGAACTCGACTGCAAGTGTCTGGTGAGCCCGTGCAGACTTCCTCGGTCGACTTGTCTGGTGGTGGCGTCCTGTCCGTGCCTGAGCCCCATTCGCCTCGCCCTCGCAGTCGCTGGTGCCGCCTGACTTGGCGACGGCACGCGACGACGTCGCATGGAAGCGCAAACACGTCGCTAGTCTACAATGCCTCGACCCATGTCTTCGTTTCCTGTGACTCCCCCCTCCCTACCCTCCTCCTCCTCCTCCTCCTCCTCCTCCCTCCTCCTTCCCTTCCTCCTCCACCCTCCTCCTTCCTGCCACTCCTCTCCTCTTCTGCTCCTCTCCTCCCCACCCTCCTCCTCTCCTCCTCTCCTCCTTCCTCATCCTTCACCATCCTACTCCTCCTCATCCTCCTCCTCCCTCCTCTACTCTCCCCTCATCCTCCTCTCCTCCTCGCTCCTCCTCCTCCTCCTCCTACTCTCTCCTCCTCCTCCTCCTCCCTCCTCATCCTCCTCCTCCTCCGCCTCCTCCTCCTCGCATCCTCCTCCTCCTCATCCTCATCTCATCCTCCTCCTCCTCATCATCCAACCTCCCTCCTCCTCTCCTCCTCCCTCTCCTCCTCCTCTCCTCCTCCTCCTCCTCCTCCTCCCTCCTCCTCCTCCTCCTCCCTTCCTCCTCCTCCCCCCCCTCTCCTCCTCCTCCTCCTCCTCCTCCTCCTCCTCCTCCTCCTCCTCCTCCTCCTCCTCCTCCTCGGCCGTCCTCGCCCCCCCGCTCCCCCTGCCGCACACCCCCCCGTGCCCCTCTGCACGCACGCCCGCCGAGCCTGTGGAGGTAGACGAGGGCGCTGGAGACGTCAGAGAGCCACCGCCACAACAGCGCCTCGTCCATGGGGGAGCCCAGGCTCCTCGCGGACTCCACCTTTGCGTGGACAGGAACCCACCAGCGATAACTACATATAAGGCTACACAGACAATCAAAACACTCAGGCATTACAGCGCACTACTTCTAGGTAAGACTCTAGTTCCTCAGTTTTGCAACATATGCACACAATATTTGGTGGCTCGCACTGCTTCGCCTCAACTCTTGGTCCTGCGTCAGGTACCTTCGGGCACCCGTGAAAATATGGAGAGGTGGGGCGCTGTGAAAAGAAGGGCGGGGGGAGCAGGAAGGAGAAATTGGGCGCCCCTAAGTCGTGCTAGGCAAAAACAACGGGTCAGAAAACGGAAACGTTGGGACGGATTCCGATCCAAACAGAACGGACTTGAGCGGGGAAAGATCATGATCACGAAGGGGTCAAGGTTATGAACGCGAGAGGGGTTACAACCATGAACATGGTGGAAGTTGATGGACTGGCCGTAGCAGGGGGTCAAATCATGACCGCGAAGGGGCTAATAGTAATACAGGAGAAAGCGGTCACGGTACTGATCATGTCATGTGTCGGTGGAGCTCCATATGGGGCCACGGAAAGTGTGAGGAGTGTGCCCCAATTGGTGTGGTGATGCCATGCGAGCGCAGCCACTGGGGCCTTCGGTGGAGCTCCCTTTGGGGCCACGGAACGTGCGAGGGGTGTGCCGACATGGGCGCGGTTGTGCTATGCGAGCGCAGCCACTGTGGCCTTCGGTGGAGCTCCCTTTGGGGCCACGGAACGTGCGAGGGGTGTGCCGACATGGGCGCGATGGTGCTATGCGAGCGCAGCCACTGGGGCCTTTGGTGGAGCTCCCTATGTGACCCCGAAACGTGTGAGAAGTGTGCCGAAATGGGCGCGGTGGTGCCATGCGAGCGCAGCCACTTGGGCCCTCGGTGGAGCTCCCTATGGGACCCCGAAACGTGTGAGAGGTGTGCTGACACAGACATGCGGAGGGCAGAGGCACGGATGGTGAGATGGGAGGAGGGAGAAGGAGGAGGAGGAGGAGGGGGAGGAGGAAGGATGAGTGAGGAGTGAGGAACGCGACGCGGCGCGCTGTCTCTTCAAAACGAGGACCCGACTCCACAGGACTGTTGGGAAAACTTGCGCTAGACTCCTGGGCCGCTTTGCTTGCCCAGCCTTCTGCGCGAGCGTGCCGCCCATGGCCGGCTCCATCACGAGGTACAGGTCTCCCTCGTGGAGGAAGTGCTCGTGATACCTGATCAGGTGCGGGTGGTCCAGCGCCATCAGAAGACCGGCCTCCATCTCGCACTCCCTCTGCACGGCCTCCTCGACGGGACCACCAGGGGACGCGACTCGCAGACACAAGGCATGCTCTCGAGCACGCGACCTTCCCTCCCTCCGAGGCCGCGGGCTGGCAGCACTCAGGCTGGGGTGGCGCGAGGGGCGCGGCCTGAGGAGGCAGTGGGCCTCCTCGGGAGATGCCCGGGGGCCTCTGAGCACGCAGAGGCCCCCGCGGCAGAGACCGGAGGCCTCCGAGGAGGAAGGGGGCCTCCTCGGCATGGACCCGGAGGCCTCCGAGAAGGCACGGGGCACCCCGTGCCTTCTCACAAGCCCCCCCGCCTGGGGAGGCCAAGAGGTACCGGCACCGCTGCTCCCCGGATCTCCCCCGGGGTGCACACCGACCAGAGCCTCGAGGCGAGTCCAGCGGTGGCGGCGAGGGCCTCCCAGAAGCCCCAAAAGTGAGACAGCGAGGCAGGGACAGCGGCACACGTTGGCCGGAGGAAGCAGGTCGGAACACGAAGCAGAAAGGAGGATGCAGTAGACTGGGGTCAGGCCCTCCCAGAGACTGGCAGAACACAGCAAGAGCATATCACATCGGCGCTTGAAGTAGGAAGGCGCTTGATGTGGACTGGGTTCTGGGAATCCAGAACTGCCTGCTTTCAACGACCGGCGTGCATTCCGGTTTTTTTTTTAAACAAAAATCCCCCCCCCCCTGTCCCCTCCCCTCCTCATCCTCCGCCTCCATCCTCCTCACCCTCCTCCCTCCTTCACCTTCCCCCTCCCTCCCCCTCCCCCTCCCCCTCCTCCTCCTCCTCCTCCTCCTCCTCCTCCTCCGACCCCCTGCCTTCTCAGAAGCCCCCCCCCCCCCCGCTCGCTGGGAGGGCAGCCAAGGCGCTCGCCGTCCCCCCGGCGCGCGCGCCGCCAGGGCGGAGGGATATCGGCTCAGCGCCGCCCCGAGACTGCACCCCGAGAGCCGACGCTGCCGAGCAGAACACGGCTTCACCGCCAACAACCACGACCCAAGCCCCAGACTCACGTCGGGCCTGTCCCCCTACAGGCCGGCCGATGTTCGAGGAAAAAACAAAAATCCAAGAATGCCCACCAAAATAATCAAAAAGTCAAGGTCCAGAAAATCGAAAATGATCGAACAACATGAAAAAATAAAAAATAAGAGAGGGAACAAAACAAAAAAAAACGGCCCCCGACTATGTTTATAATATTTATAATATATTCCTCCTGTAGAGGGACAGGCACGACTTCACCCCAGACCCCACCTTCCTGCGTCAGTTTTCCGGCCCGATCGATCTATGAGGGCCCCAGGGCCCGAAATTGAGCGAAAAAATGCTCGGCTCGACAATAATTGCGTCGCCAGGACCTCAAGGCACGAGAGGCCCGCCTGCGAGGCGTGCGCCATCCCAAGTAAATCGTGAGAAAGCCCAAAGCGAGAGCGTGATTCCTGAGCGCCGAGGGCGCATCGTTTCAGTAAATTGCGAGGAAGTCCCACGCGATAGCACGATTCGCATATAATGTGTGATGAAGTCCCGTGCGAGAGCACGATACTTAAATAAACTGCGAGGAAGAATCGAGCGGGAGCCGTTGTTGTTGCAATTCCGGGCCCAACAACGCAGTTTGAGGAGGAAGACTTTCCCTGATAAAAAACCAAGTGCGAGCCCCAGGAGGATCGCTTCAATTGAAAAACGCATGTGTTACCAGGGGGGATCAATTATAATTATTCTTCAGAAATGAGAACTCAACCAAAACACCACCAACAACAACAATGGCAACAACATAAACAGCAGCAGCAACAGCAACACTAACACCATCACCACCACCAACAACAACAACAACAGCAACAATAACAGCAACAACAACAGTAATCTTAAGACTGTTCGCTCTTATCTGCTCGCGGGCCATTCAACACGTGTATCCCAAACCCGCGATACCCGCCCTCTTCGTCTTCGATCGTACCTCCTTGGGGGTGCATCCTTCTTACCTGCAACGTGTATTTCGTGTAGCCCCTAAGGAAGGGTAGGAGAGGACAGACGGAAGGCAGGGACAATGGGGAGGGAGGAGGATGGGGCACGAGAGAGAGTAGCAGCGGGGCTAGGAGCAGAAAACACATGGCAGAGCCAGACGGGCAGATCAGGCGGGCAGACCCCAGCGGGCTGGTCGGGAAGGCGGGCCCAGGCGGCCAGGTCGAGCGGGCGGAGTGCTGAAGCATGAGTCCTGCATGAATCGCGTGGAAGTTTTGAGCGATGCGCGATTCTCGAGTAAGTGATTAAAAAAGCCCAGAAGCGAGAGCGTGACTTCTGAGTGTCGAGGACGCGGCGTCTAAATCAATTGCGAAGAAGACCCACGCGAGAGCGCGATTCCTGATAACTTGCCATCCCGCGCGCGAGAGCGATTTCTCAATGAATTGTGAGGAAGTATCAGGCTGGAGCCGATGTTGTTGTAACTGGGGGGGCCAGGGGCACAGTTTGAATAGGAAGACTTCCCCTGTAAAAAACAAGGGGCGAGCCCCGAGGGGGGGTACTTCAATTGATAAATACAATGTGCACGCGGGAGGGGTCAACAATACCTATTCTTCAATGATGAAAGTTCCACAACGACAGCAACAACAGCAGCAGCAACAACAACAACAACACATAGCAATAACAAGAACAGCAGTAACAACAACAACAATAATAACAACAACAACCACAATCACAACAACAACAGTAGCAGCAGCAACAACAACAGCAACATCAACAACACCACCAACAACAACCTGAACAACATCAACAACAACAGCAACAAACAACCAACAACAGCAACCACAACACAACTACTTCTACAACAACAAATTCAATTTCATCAACAACAACAACAACAACAACAACAACAAGAACAATTACTAGCACGTGGGGACACACCGTTCTCACCAGTGCCAGGGTTTTCATAGGAGGCGGGCAATACCCCCACTTTGTGGGGGGGCCGGTTCAAGCTCTACCAAATTTCCAAACGACTCTTCGCCACCACCCACACCCAGCTTCCCGCCCTATGACGTTCGGACACTTCACTTCGTGGCATGCGGACGACCGTGGCTACTATTCAGGGCCCCGCGGCCGACGACGACGGCGTGCGCGCGCGAAGAAAAAACGAATGTGTCCCGCATGGTATTATTTGACAGGGATGATGGCCCTGGCAGGTGCGCAACCGTTGTTGCAGAAGTTCGAAAAAGTTGCTCGCAAAAGCCCGTTTGACAGAAATGTTTAAAAAGTGTTGGGTTTCCTACGAATCCGCAAGAGCGCGCGGGATGAGATTTTGACAATTTTTGTTGAAAAACCATTGGTTTTTTGATGTTTTTATGTTAAAATCGCTCCGAACACTAAGCTTTTTGAAGGATTTCGTCTTGCGCGCGCGAATGTCCACTTTACCTTATTTGTTGCAAGGGATTCTTGAAATTTGATTATATTAGAACAAGAAATGTCATTTTCTATTGTTTTTTGCAAGGGAAAGCGGATTACAACAAAACAACCGGATCCTGTACACACCCTCTTTTCTGAGGCTTCCTCACGAAAATGATGAAAATGTAGCTGCGGCCTAGGCGGCGCAGGGGGGGCGCGCACCAGGGGGCCCAACAATAATTATTCTTTAGAATAAATAATGTTCAACAACAGCACCACCAACAACAACAACCGTCCATCAGAGGCCCGGACTCAGAGCACCGCAGGCAGAATCTGGCGGGACCTCGGTGCACGGAAGCACCACGGGGCCCGGACGGACACACCGGCACGGTGTGCCCTCCCCGGAGGCGTGCGCCCGACCAGACGGCACCTCGCTGCCCCAGCGGTGTGGCCGGAGAGCGCCCGCCACCGAGCTCCGACGTAGAGACCTCCGAGCGTGCGCGCCGCCACCCGTCACGGCACCGACCCTGCAGACGTGCCGCGGCGGATTGGTGCGCTGATTTCTGCCAAGGCGAAACCCCGAAGCGGCGAGCAAAAGAAACGAAGTGGACGTCACGTGGATAGTGCAGCCTTCGTGCCTGGTCCCAAAAAGTCCGCGCCAAAGCCACCTCGAAGTCTGGAGCGAGATTCTCCAGGACACTCCGGGCCCATGCTGTCGTTTTCCGAACGAGATCCGCTCTGCAATGCTGGCGCCATGACATCTGGCATCAGTATGCTCGGATGGTGGTGAAATCACTACACCCCTGTGCACGGTTTCCCCTGGGGCCGTAATCGACCCGAGGAGGAGTAGGAGGAGGAGGAGGAGGTGGAGGAGGGGGAGGGGGAGAAGGAGATGGAGGAGGAGAAGGAGGAGGAGGAGAGGTCGGATGAGGAGGAGAGAGGCAGGAGGGAGAGATGGAGGAGGAGGAGGAGTGAGAGGAGGAGGGGAGGAGGAGGAAGAGGCAGGAGGAGGAGGAGGAGGAGGAGGAGGAGGAGGAGGAGGAGGAGGAGGAGGAGGAGGAGGAGGGGGAGGACTGGCCGCCTAAGCCCTTCGGAGAAACCCTCCACACCCCCGTGGCCGGTGCGCGCCCGAGCCAGCAGGCGGCGACTCCGCAGCTGGCCACCGCGCGCGAATCGCGCGAGAGCCACAACGCGCGCCGGCGCGCCCGCCCGGCACGGAGGCACCCAGCAGCGAACAGAAACAGGCTGCACAGACGTTCCATGATGGGCCAGCTTTCCACCACCACTACCATACGTAGGACGGGGGAGAAGGGAGGATGGGGAGGTCCTCCTCCTTCTCCTCCTCCTCCCCCTCGCCTCCTCCTCCTCCTCCTCCTCCTCCTCCTCCTCCATCTCTTGCCTGTGGTAGCGGTGGTGGAGAATCGGCTCATCGCTCCATTCTGCAGGTCCGCGCGGAGTTCTCAGAGCTGCGCTGAGCCCCCCTTCCTGGCGCGCGAAGCAAGCCGAAAGCGCTCGAGGCGCCGCCGGGAAGGGCCCCGCGCAGCTCCGAGAAGTCCGCGCGGACCTCCGAGAGTTTGCGTTTGTGCCGTCAGTCTTCTTCCTCGATGTTGGCCCCCG